AAACGAGCAGCAGAATATTAAAAAATCAAAGAATAACCACTAAGCGACTAACAGGTTTCAAAGCGTGTCTTCTCCTTCTATCTTCCAATCTTGATTGTTCATATCACCAATTCTGCTTAACAAACCTCTTCTCTCAAGTTGCGGACAGTTTCTGGGAGGACGAGTTGAATCCATAATTAACGACTCCAACAAAGGTCAAGCATGCCCATCGTGCAGAGGACTATTATATTGAAGCGTCACAGAAATGACGAGCCACTATACATCTGAACTAGACAGAGCGGACGAGTTTGTTCTCTCATTATCGGGAGTTTGTCATTCTTCTGCTCTGTCACGAAAAAATAGGGTTGTCAAGGGTAAATTATTGGTTTGCAACGCGTATTTTCGACCATTTCACAAACTTTCATATTGCAAGAAGGGTAGTTTGATGAGATCAATACATTAAGTAGAAAGCAATAAATTAATGAATTGATTGGCTAAATTGATTATGCACATTCAGGCTCGATGGAAGAGGCTCGGCATCAATATGAAAACAATACAGTACCCAATTCAACGAGCAAGTCGTGAAAAATCTATTGAAATAGATTATCCAGTGCCTAGAGCTAGACCTCCACCTCCATCACCTTCAACGAAATCCATCGAAGAAAACGAGCATGGAAAACTTTTGGAAATTATGGAACCTAAGGTGGTAAATTCTGCTGCAACGTTGAATTATTCTAGTAGAAAGCGTAGAATTTTTGAGCAACAAGATTTCTCTTCCAAACTGAATCCAGCAATATTCGAGAAGCATTCGTATTTCGAATCACACTAAAAACTTATTAAAGGACTTTGTAGAAGGACGATATTCGAGTAGCTGCGACGCCAAACACCCGAAAATCGGTACCATTGCCGACCGACGATAAAGACATTCAAGTGGAGCCACGACGTCCACGAATTCATGGGCCAATTCTGGCGCCCTATTCAGCCACAATACACGAAGGTAACGCCAATAATCTGAATCGCCACTACGCTTTCAGCTTTTGTTTTCTTTTTGTTATAGCGTTTGCTTTGCTTCCTGTCAAAATAAATAGACTATAGCTCCCAACTGGGATCCCACCTATTCACACTACTTTCAACCCTTACCCCGTACATACTCGCTCGAACTAATACCGTAACCCAGCTGTTAACTTAACCCTTCCATACTA